GGAGGGGGGGGGGGGGATACTCCGTCCTTTTAAGAGGCTGCATAGAGCTCAAATTCCATTAAGCAGGCGTGACCTCTTCGTTGTCATTGTTACGAAGCACCTGCTGATGAGCGATCCTACCGCGTTATTCAAGTATGAATGGGTAGCTTACTGGTTTTTGAAGATTTTTTAATCTTGACAGTAACGATCCTCCAGCAGCCAGTTCCATCACGATCATAATCGGTTCTTTTGATGTGCAAACACCATGTAGACGAACTACGTTTTCCTAGAAACCGTTGCGAATTAGTAATGACGTGGTTATTGGAAAAACACTATGAATTTCTCGTTTTGCCGCTCTGAGATTTTTCAGATTCTTCAGTGAGAATCAGAACGATCAACCAAGTCGTTGTGTCAAGGACTAGATGTACCTAGCTTGAATTCTACGTTCTGGTAGGCTTAGAGGCATCATACACGTAAGGGTGAAAATGTAGTTGGGGCGGAGGGAGGAGGGGGGGGGGGGGNAATGTGGTGGGGGGGGGGGGGGGGGGGGGGGGGGGCAACCACCAACACTAGGCACTAGAGCGCATAGAAGCAGAGCTGGCCGACTTTGCGGGCCTGTAATAGTGCTTGAAAACATTTTTCAGTGATGGAAATATAGTTTTTAGACGAAGCTTCAAAAGAAGGGGAGCTTTGGGGTGGGTAAGATGATTACCAAAAGCAAAAATAACAAATGGGTGAAGAGTTGAACATTCAGTTGAGCCCTGATTGATTTCTTTTCAAAAGGGTAGGGCGGTAGTGTGCTAGCATATAGACGGCTAGAACTCTTTCTCTGCGCTCTAGCGTCTAGTGTTAGAGTGGAGAGGTGGCATCGCAAACTTCATCTTCACCATCATGAGTTTGAAAACCAAAATTCTCTTTGAAAATAAGGGGAGAGCGGGGAGGGGAGGGAGTGAGGGGTGGGGGTAACACTCGGGCGACATGCCGCGCTCGCCGTATCCGTCGCGTGCGTACCGTGGAATAATAACAACATATTCTATGGGGCAGCGGAAATATTTTCCCTCGGATAAGCCATGAATTTGAACGATGGACGAAAAACCAACGTGTTTGAATTCTCTCATAATGCTTGCTTCCTGTAAAAATTGTATACGATCGTCGGCTGTCATGTTTGTAGAGTGAAGTGTTTTTATTGCCACAGGAATTCGAGCACCCCATATTCCATCCTAAGAAATTGACTTGTAGGAAACCGATATCAATGACACAATCCATCACCGAACTGATTTTGCATTGCAAAGAAATGCTGACCCACACGGAATCGAAATTTGCCCAATAGGGCGACGTGTGTGTTCGTTTGACAACTCACTTACAATTATCGGCAAACAGAATCTTTCATCTTTAAGCCATGGGCGTAGCATTGCAGGGTGGTGGAAACTTCTTCCCACCAATCGCGTCGCACTCGCCGCATCCTACTACGCGCGATCGGGTGCGATGACCGCGACGCATTGTCGGGAAGAAGTTACCAGGAATTTAGAGAGAACGTCACCCCATTGCAAGGCGCAGTAACTGCTTGCTGCCGAGCCGGTTTCGGCAAGGGGAAGTTGGCACTGAATTGGGAAATACTGGACAAGAATAACTCTCTTATCTACTAGCGAGCGACCTCATCTAATAAGCATCTCGAACTTTGGACCCAGCCGTGGCGCTCCCCTATCCGATCTCCTTTTTTACTTTTACTTTTTGAATTTTTTTCTGGACATGATAAAGCAGCAGTAGTACTCACTTGCAATAATCCTTTGTACACTTCGCCAAAAGCTCCTTCGCCTATTTTTACTTGTGGTTCTATCTGAAAAAGCCGGCAGTTTTACATGGAATCGCTATCATGGCACTCTCCCTTGGTACCTGTTCAGGATTTAGTTGCCATTCTTTCTTCTGGCATGGTTTTTCCAGAAAGGTCCCGGTGGCAGTCAATGGTGCTCTGTTTCTCAGATGGTATTGCACAAGGTCGCTTACTGTTTTGAAAGCGTAATCGTACACCCAGTATAGACGCTTCTGTAAAAGGATACTGTACTTTTAAAACTGTGTTGTGCCGAGAACATAGGCTCACCTTCGAAGTACGCTTGATCAGAAAATGTTTCAATTCTCCTGATTCCATCAGACTTATTACAATGTGATGACGACCACCGACATCCGTCTTCCTCACTGAAAAGGAGTAAAGTATTGATAACGGACTTCCCTGTGGATTCTGGTGGCCATCCTCTTCCTCATTTCTTCCATTATATTACCAAGTTGGAATCCTCATCCGCATCAACTTAGGGAAGGGGTAACACCATTTTTTGGGTGAAGATGGTGTGGTGAATGTGCGCACTATCATGTTTATGACTCGGGGATGGAACCCGCCTGCTCCAACTTTTTCCATCTGGACTGGAGGGAACCGGACTCCTCTTTTCAAATAAAAGTGCCGACTTGTAGCCAACCACTACAAGACTTTGTAGAGCCAGATAGGCCCATTACAGCCTATTACGATCCTGACAATTGCGGGAGGAGGTGCTCCGAAACGAGATTGAACGGAAAGCCTTATTTATTATTTCTTGTTGATCAGGGGATTCCTAGAATGTTGACTGTAGGACCCTACCAACTTTAACGACGTAGAAATAGATTGACTTACCCAGAAATTCTCCATCTTTCTTAAGAATTTTCTCAGTATCCTGTCTTGTCATAAAGCCGTGGTAGTACGGTTCATCTTCAATCGATTTCACAGTCCTTCCAGCTTCATCACAGTTGATCTGTACTCACAGGCGTTTCAGAACAAAAGTGTATGGGAGCGCTCTATGACAAAGTACCTGGACGAGCCTTCTTGAAGAAGGTGCACTGCTTTTGATTTTGCGGACTTCTTTGGGTTTCTTCTCTTCTTTCTGAAAAGTACTTCGTTGAGGTGTGTTCGGCCGAATAGAATACAGTGTTTGTAATCAGATAGATGAAAATACATCGGCAGCTGATCCAGGTGGTAGGGACGGATAGCCGACAGGTACTTCTTTTGGATAGGCTGGAGCCGTTTCTGGATAACGTTGTTCAAGTTCCACGGCTACTTCTTCTGGAGAAAAATGCTGATCATTTGTAATGGGAAATTCGTTCTGAATTTGGTGATGAAGTTGTTAATCATTTGTAGCTGGCTCTATCACCTCTTATCATTCGATATCGCTTTCTCTCAATCGCTCCTGTGTTCACATGCTATCACTATAATCACTTACCGACTTTAACGTTCTCTATCCATGCAAAGAGGGAAAGGAATCCTTCTGCTATTGCCCTCTTGTATTTTCAGGCCGTATCAGTAGTTATCACTTTCTGTCCCGGTTCCCTTTTGTTTCAACCCAACCATCGCCGCGGATATAAACGCATGGATCGACAGGCCGTCGTAGCGGATTCGGTAAAATTTGCTCTCTAGTCACTACTATCAGCCTTTATCAGCAATTATCAAATTCTATCACAGTATCCTCCCACTCATTCACTGTTACTTTAGCGGCTTCGACTAGGCTGGGTGGTCGCTCACAGAGTCATTCCTACCATACCGACATAGGCAAGGCTACTGCAAACAGTAATGGCAAGACGAAGGACACGAACTAGGCTGGCAAATATGGAGTACCGAATATCTCAGAGGAAATTCCACTTGAATGCCACCTATGAATGATATCCTACCACCGAAGCAGAAGTGATGTAGTGCCAAGTAGCCCATTATTTCTCCCATGGTCCAGACCGGAAGCCAGATTGGTACCCGCTCCGGCTACCCAAACCTCCCATCCCTATTTGGGGTTGATTAGTTCGTATAAGACAGTCAGAGAAGTAAGATCGCTAACTAGAGCGCCACTGAAATTCTGGCTGGAAATCGAATGTTGGGGTGCATTCTATGAACGGGCTTGATTCAGTACAACCATTTTCTTCCTTAGCTTTCAGTTGTCTCTAGTTCAGTTGAGATAACAGGCTCCGATAACAGGCTAGGCATATTGGTTCGAGGTTGACGTACCGTTCGATTTCTTTCTTGGTTGCGGTACTTCCCCTTCAGCATAATCTGAAGATACAACAATCCTTTTGTAGTAACTGCGAAGTTGACGGACTCAACAACTCACCTTCTGGCATGACACGTTAGTAATGAATGAACCCTACCCTCGGAGCGGCATAACTATAAATGCTACTTTTTAAGAGGACTGATTTACTGAGTTGTTGTTGATAAGCGACCGTTCCTTGTTGTTCTCACTGAACGAATGGATGTAACAAGAGTCATACCGTAACTGTTCGAAGGCACAGTTCACAATGATTTTGTGGTACGTTTTTTAGGTTGTAAAGCGGAAGGGTTCATGTAAAGGAGTAGTACGGTAGCAAAGAACGCGAGAAAATCCGCCTATTTCGAGGTTTTTTGAAAGTAGTGGAAGTGGAGGTTGTACGAGATCACCGTGACGGTAACGGCATGTAAGGGGTGTTTGGACGAGATTTAACTTGCTCTCATTGTGCAAAGAGATGACTACATCAAGCCGAAATTGGCTGAAATTGCCTTTCACTGTCGCCATGGGTCATTGCAAGTTGTTTGAATTCCTACATGGAATCTCTTGAGATGGTACAGCCTCTACAAAGCCGTTTAAACTTGTTCACGATGGGTGTGGCATTCACACGATACAGCGTCTGGCCCCTTATTGTGCCCTATCCAGGTCCTTTTACGACTTCACAATGGCATGTCTGGTATAAGGGGAGCCTCGAATTCATGCTATAGTAGAATCTCAAAAACTATTTTCATCGTGAACTGTGCCTTTAACTGGAAAATTCAATTGAGGGAAAAGATTTGAGGAATGGGAGACAAAGATTTCAACTTAGAAAATACATCCACGACCAGAAATCTCAAATTCTTACGAGGATCCTCTTTTTTCCTCTCTTTATATGGCGATTCAATCAAGTTTCACCAAAAAGAGGTATGACATTGAACCTAGTTGACTGTGCTCTACAAGATGGTTTCGATAAAAGCTGGCAAGCTTCATCAATCTTCATTTTCAAGGCGTACTTCAAAATGCTCTCAAGTTGGAGAAGACATCTCGTTCAGGTCAATAGTTTTATGTTTTAGGAAAAGGCGTACAGTGATGGTTCTAGAAAAAAAGGGGAGTTTGGGTTCTTCGCGTCGATTTTTATATCCTTGAGGGGATTATTGTATTTCGACTCAACGAAGAATTTTTGGGTATCCTGTCGGACATCCTCTTACATCCGCAAAATGTTCTTTTAATATCTTTCTACCGGTTTTGCTTTCTACCGTGTTTTAGTAGTCATGCATGTCTCCTAACTCAAATCTTGTCCATACCTTTTATGGTCACCGATTATCATTAGGTACAAGCAAAAAGGGATGTCGCCAAGGTTATTGTCCTGACTTCGTGTAATCGGGATCTTGGAGACCATGTGGATTTCTACATGGTCCTTCTCGCTGGCAGTCCTCTCAGTGATCCACTTGCTTGTTCTCCTTCAGAAGATTATTCGTTCGATTCCATTCCCTGCTAAGGCTTTACAGAATTAGTTTATTATGGAAAATGCCATTAAGCATGACGATCATGATTACATTCAATTGAGATACTATGATCGTAATAATTTCAGCGTGCTACCTCAGCCTCATAATTACAATAGTAGCGCCGTTAACTCGTTAGTCGTTCGAGCCTAAAATAACCTAACAAACCTAAATCTACATTCTATTCTCTGAAGCATTTAACAAAAAAGTACACTGAGCAGCAAATATGATAAAGGGGGAGCGATAAAATGTCTAATGACCCGTTTAGAGTTCGTCAAATGAACTATGTATAGGCGTATAGGTAAATAGGAAAAAGTGAGTTATCCATAGAATGTCTGTTCTTGATCGACCAGTGTGTGAAGGGTGATAGGCGGCATGATACCAGTTGCGTCGTGATGTACAAATCGTGATGTCGCTGGTGAAGGTAATTCGCTGAAAGTGCCAGTTATAAGCTGAAGTTCCTTGTGTTATCCTTAATATGACCTTGATGAGTTTGACAGAATAGTAATGCGGTGGTGGTGTAGTGGCATGTGGGCGCACTACCACTCACGCCACGCCACTAGCGTCACGGGTTCGAATCCCAGATCGATATACGCCTAGGCTTCTAATCCTTCGGGGTCGGTTAATTGGTACCAGACTTGTCTGGGAAGATGAAAGCGCTGACTTGTTCATCGGTAGCCTCTGTAAGTCGTCGTATAAGACATCCACATTAATTACCCCACCACAAATCTGAATGGGAGTCGAATGCGGAGGTGCATCCCTCAGACGGGATTGATCGACGACAAAAACATTATCCTTAAAGGCACTGTTAACAAAAACATTGTTTCGGACATTTGCACATAGTTTGAATTCGACGCCCCCTCTGATACCATTTGTGCAGGAATGAGGTCGGAAAACGGCTGAATAGGGCACAATCAGGGGCCGGACAGATATCCA